AGTGGCTCACGCCTGTAATCCCAGCACTTTGGGAGGCCAAGCCGGGCAGATCACCTGAGGTTGGGAGTTCGAGACCAGCCTGACTAACATGGAGAAACACCGTCTCTACTAAAAATACAAAATTAGCTGGGTGAGGTGGTGCATGCCTGTAATTCCAGCTACTTGGGAGGCTGAGGCACAAGAATTGCTTGAACCTGGAGGCAGAGGCTGCGGTGAGCTGAGACCATGCCATTGTATTCCATCCTGGCGACAGAGCAAGACTCTGTCTCAAAAAAATATATATATATCTTTTTTTTTTTTTTTTTTTGGAATGGAGGTTTGTTTGTTGTGGCCAGGCTGGAGTGCAATGGCGCGATCTCGGCTCACCGCAACCTCCGCCTCCTGGGTTCAAGCAATTCTCCGGCCTCAGCCTCCCGAGTAGCTGGGACTACAGGCATGCACCATCATGCCCAGCTAATTTTTGTATTTTTAGTAGAGACGGGGTTTCACCTTGTTGACCAGGATGGTCTCAATCTCTTGACCTCGTGATCCACCCGCCTCGGCCTCCCAAAGTGCTGGGATTACAGGCTTGAGCCACCGCGCCCGGCCTAAAAATATATATCTTTATAAGTAAATGTCTACGAGTGTTGAAGCTGTACGTTTCAGGAGAAAGAGGCAGGAAAGATCACAGTACATCCGGATCTGGATTCCAGCTGACCCACCATGACCTTAACTTTCACCCTCCCCATGGCCTTGCCCTCTCTGTTCCCGTTCAGAGCCTGGGCACTCACTGGAGCTGGTTGATGATGACCATGCGGACGTGCTCTCGGGCCTTGAGGATCTTCTCCAGCCGGTGGATGTCATAGGTGTTGGGGTTCCGGAAGGGGATGTCGTCAGGCAGGCCTGTGACCTCCACGGCGTCTGGGCTGTCCCGGATCAGTTTATAAGGGACCAGCACTGGCCGGTTCAGGCCCAGGGCCTCACCTAGAGGACACAGGAAGTCACAGTGAGACAAGATGTCCCTTGTCAAAGGCAACGCCATCTAAGGAAAGGGCTGGAGTCTGGTCCTCCTTAGCCCGGCAGCCATCACACCTAGAGAGTTTAAAAATGAGGGGATCGAGCTTTCTGGTCCCGGTCGCAGAAGCAATATGATGAAGGGAACATCATCGTTTGGGAAGCGTCGTAATAAGACGCACACGTTGTGCCGCCGCTGTGGCTCTAAGGCCTACCACCTTCAGAAGTCTACCTGCGGCAAATGTGGCTACCCAGCCAAGCGCAAGAGAAAGTATAACTGGAGTGCCAAGGCTAAAAGACGAAATACCACCGGGACTGGTCGAATGAGGCACCTAAAAATTGTATACCGCAGATTCAGGCATGGATTCCGTGAAGGAACAACACCTAAACCCAAGAGGGCAGCTGTTGCGGCATCCAGTTCATCTTAAGGATTTCACCGATTAGTCACGCAATAAATGTTCTGGTTTAAAAAAAAAAAAAAAATGAGGGGATCGAGACCAGCCTGGCCAACATGCTGAAACCCTGTCTCTACTAAAAATACAAAAATTAGCCAGGCGTGGTGGCGCGTGCCTGTAGTCCTAGCTACTCAGGAGGCTGAGACGGGAGAATTGCTTGAACCCGGCAGGCGGAGATTGCACCACTGTACTCCAGCCTGGCGACAGAGTTAGATTCTGTCTCAAAAAAAACAAAACAAAACAAAAAAAAAATCAAGACACATAGGCCGGGTGCAGTGGCTCACACCTGTAATCCCAACACTTTGGGAGGCCGAGGTGGGAGGATCACTTGAGCCCAGAAGATCAATACCAGCCTAGGCAACATGGTGAAACCCTGTCTCTACTAAACATAGAAAAATTAGGCCAGGTGCCGTGGCTCACGCCCATAATCCCAGCACTTTGGGAGGCCAAGGCGGGTGGATCACGAGGTCAGAAATCAAGAAACATCCTGGTCAACATAGTGAAACCCTGTCTCTGCTAAAAATACAAAAAAATTAGCCAGGCATGGCGGTGCATGCCTGTAGTCCCAGCTACTAGGGAGGCTGAGGCAGGAGAATTACTTGAACTCAGGAGGTGGAGGCTGCAGTGAGCCGAGATCGCATCACTGCATTACACAGCCTATTGGTGGAGCAAGACTCCATCGCCAAAAAAAAGAAAAAAAGAAAAAGCTGGGAGTGGTGGCACACACTTGTAGTCACAGCTACTTGGGAGGCTGAGGCAGGAGGATCACCTAAGCCCAGGAGGTGGAGGTTGCAGTGAGCAGAGATTGAGCCGCTGTACTCCAGCCTGGGCAACAGAGTGAGGCCCTGCTTTAAAAAAAAAAAAAAAAAGAAAGAAAGAAAATCAATACACACACACACCATGGGTCTTGAGCAGAGCAGCCATGTCCCCAAGGGAGCAGGCAGGCCAACTTGAAGGCGAGGCTGGCTGCAGAGGGACCCCCTCCCCGAACCCCGCCACAGAAGGCTTGGTGCACTGACTCCGCCCACAGGCACTGACCGTATTTCTCATTGAAGAGTTCTTTCACCTGCTCCCGCAAGATCACCTTCTCCCCGAGTCTGTTGGCATCATCTTCATCTGGAAGAAGAAGACAAAGGGGCATGACAGTCGGCACCGGCTTGGCCACCGGACCAGCTGCTTCTCCCACCAGGTGTCCCTGATCCGCCAAAACATTCTCTCCACGCCCTGCCTACTCCCATGCAGTTTTTTCTTTTGTTTTTTGACAGGGTCTTGCTCTGTTGTTCAGGCTGGAGTACAGTGGCGTGATCTTGGCTCACTGCAACTTCCGTCTCCTGGGTTCAAGTGATTCTCCTGCCTCAGCCTCCCGAGTAGCTGCGATCACAGGCACGCGCCATCACACCCAGCCAATTTTTGTATTTCTAGCAGAAACAGGGTTTTACTATGTTGGCCAGACTGGTCTCAAACTCCTGGGCTCAGGTGACCCCCCCGCCTCGGCCTCTCAAAGTGCTGGGATTACAGGCACAAGCCACTGCGCCCGGCTGCAGCTGGTTTCTAGCCTCAGTTGTCGGTCCGTCCATCCATCCTTTTCTCTCTTTTTCTCTTTTTTTTTTTTGAGACGGAGTTTCGCTCTTGTTACCCAGGCTGGAGTGCAATGGCGCGATCTCGGCTCACCGCAACCTCCGCCTCCTGGGTTCAGGCAATTCTCCTGCCTCAGTCTCCTGAGTAGCTGGGATTACAGGCACACACCACCATGCCCATCTAATTTTTTGTAGTTTAGTAGAGACAGGGTTTCACCATGTTGACCAGGATGGTCTCGATCTCTTGACCTCGTGATCCACCCGCCTCGGCCTCCCAAAGTGCTGGGATTATAGGCTTGAGCCACCGCGCCCGGCCCTTTTCTCTTTTTTTGAGACGCAGTCTTGCTTTGTCACCCAGGCTGGGATGCAGTGGTGCAATCATAGATAGCTCACTGTAGCCTCCAACTCCCAGGCTCAAGTGATCCTCCTGCCTCAGCCTCCTGAGTAGCTGGGAGTACAGATGTGTGCCACCATGCCTGACTAATTTTTAAAATTTTTTGTAGAGATGGAGTCTCGCTATGCTGCCCAGGCTGATCTTGAACTCCTGGCCTCAAGCGATCCTCTTGCCTTGGCCTCCCAAGGCTCAGGAATTACAGGTGTGAGCCATGGTGGCCAGCCTTTCCAGCATTTTCTTATCAGTGTTCCCAGCACAGGCCCTGTGTTGGGCATAAAACAGCCTAGAGAAGGGGCAGGGCTGCTCCCCTGAGGGACTTCCAGCCAGAGGGGGGTATCACCAGGTCACCAAAGTACCATAGGACACGTTTAAGAGACAGGGGACTTCAATCACGATGCCCACCCTGTCTGAGCAAGTCTGGGGAGACCTCCCCGCCAGAGAGCAGGAAGTTTAAGTGGGCTCTCAAGGACCAACATGGTGGCTCACACTTGTAATCCCAGCACTTCTGGAGGCTGAGGTGGTGCACCACTTGAGGTCAGGAGTTCGAGGCCAGCTTGGCTAACATGGTGAAACCCTGTCTCTACTAAAAATACAAAAAATTAGCCAGGCATTGTGGCAGGCGCCTGTAATCCCAGCTACTCAGGAGGCTGAGACGGGAGAATTGCTTGAACCCGGGACGCAGAGGTTGCAGTGAGCCAAGATTGCACCGCTGCACTCCAGCCTGAATGACAAGAGCGAAACTCTGTCTCAAAAATAAATAAATAATTAAAAAAATAAAGATCCCGTGTCTGTGTCCCGGAGTGGCTGAAGTTCGGGGTAGCAGAGCGGAGATGACTGATGGTCCTAGCAGGGTCCGCACACAGAGGCCGGTGTGACTGCTGACCTGCTGGAAATCCCCCGCCTGCTCGCCGGCCAAGGTCTGTGAATGGGAAACAGACCGTGTCTGGGCTGTGGGGGCCGTGCGTTCTCCTTGCTCACTGCCCAGGCAACCGTCACGGCCTATCTGCTGCTTGAGCCCCCGACATGCTCCGCTGTCCCCTCCCTGTAGCCTAGAGGGGCTGCTGGGGTCAATTAGCCCTGGAGACGGGGCCTGAGCTGGGCTGTGAGGCTGAGGTGTGGGGGCTGGAGAACGGGTCCAGGCAGAGCTCCACAGCAGCCTGCGGGCTTGTACCAGGGTTGGGGACGGGGCTGGGATTGCAGGAAGGGTGGTCTGCATGTCCAACAGGATGTCTCCTCTCTGGGAAGCATAGGGGCACGTGGGCTGGGCCTCTGGGGCAGGCGGGGGTTGGGTAAGGGTGAGATGTGGGGGGTGGCGGGGAGCCAGGGTCAGACGATGCAGGAAGAGCAGAGAAGACTGACGGGTCTTTGGAAAAAAAGGGTTCCTTTTTTTGTTGTTCTCCAAGACAGAGTCTCATTCTGTCACCAGGCTGGAGTGCAGTGGCATGGTCTCGGCTCACTGCAACCTCCGCCTCCTGGGTTCAAGCCATTCTTGTGCTTCAGCCTCCTGGGAGCTGGGACTACAGGTGCCCGCCACCACATCCGGTTAATTTTTGTATTTTTAGTAGAGACGGGGTTTCCCTATATTGGCCAGGGTCTCGAACTCCTGAGCTCAGGTGATCTGCCTGCCTCAGCTTCCCAAAGTGCTGGGATTACAGGTATGAGCCACCACGCCTGGTCTGACTCTGGTCCACCCTGTCCCCCATGCTGGAGTGTAGTGGCGCCATCATGGCTCAGCCTCTTGAGTAGCTGGGACTCCAGGCATCAATCACCATGCCAGACTAAGTTTTTAAATTTTTTGTAGAGACAGAGTCTCTCTCTGTTGCCCAGGCTGCTTTTGAAATCCGAGGCTCAAGCGATCCTCCTTCCTCGGCCTCCTAAAGTGCTAGGATTACAGGTGTGAGCTGCTGTGCCTGGCTCTGTTTTAATCTTGAAAACTCTGGGAAGAGCTCGCTACTGTCTAGGAGGCCACCTTGGAGACTGCATCTCCTGGGCTGGTGCTCTGTGCTGCTTGGAGCCTCCTGGCCCCATTTGGGTGGCCTGGCCTCCCGTGCACAAGCTACCAGAATGGAGACTCCATTCCCAATGTGGGGGCTACCCCAAAGAGCACGGAGCTTCCCACGGGACAGAGGCTGGGCACCTGCTTGGCCTAATTCCTCCTTTTCCAAGCACTCCAACACCCACCATCCCAGGTCCTCCCGAACCTTGCAGGTCCCTGGCCTAGTCCGTCCACGCCCACACTCTGGAATCTCCGCCCATCTGTGAGTTGCTGCATCTGTCTGCAAGCACGGCCAGCCAGCCCCCCCCGGATGCCCAGAGACACCACAAACACAGCCATCCCAGACAACATCCTCCTCCCGTGTCCCTATCTCATGGAGCGATGCCTCTAATCCAGCCACACCAAGACCCCACGGTTCTAGAGGGTTCTAGAAGACTTGTCCAGATCCCGTGCAGACGACTGTGATGGAGTCCTCGGCCCAAGGACCAGCTCCTAGTGCCTGCAGGGAGGCGGCAGCATGCTCCATCTGGCCCCATGCCACTGAGGAATCGTTGGTGGCAGGATTCTCAGCAGGCATGGCTGTGCATGCACAGAACACAGAAAGAATGGCCTGGATCACACACATCACTGTGTGCGGATGCTTTCCTAGACACAGCAGCCAAGGACACAGAGGCTCAGAGAGGTAAAGAAACTTGCCCAAGGTCACACAGCCACTAAGCACTGGGAGTACTCTGTTGACCCCAGGTTTCTTGAGGTCTCAGATACCCCTAAAGTTTCTTTCTTTTTTTGAGAAAGAGTCTCGCTCTGTCACCCAGGCTGGAGTGCAGTGGCATGATCTTGGCTCAACTGCAACCTCTGCCTCCTGGGTTCGAGTGATTCTCATGCCTCAGCTTCCAGAGTAGCCGGGATTATAGGTTCCTGCCACCACGCCTGGCTAATTTTTTGTATTTTTATTTTAATTAATTTATTTATTGAGATGAAGTTTCAATTTTGTTGCCTAGGCTGGAGTATAACGGCACGATCTCAGCTCACTGCAACCTCTGCCTCCTGGGTTCAAACGATTTGCCTGCCTCAGCCTCCAGAGTAGCTGAGATTACAGGTGCCCGCCACCACACCCAGCTAATTTTTTTTTGTATTTTTAGTAGAGATGGAGTTTCACCATGCTGGCCAGGCTGGTCTCGAACACCTGACCTCGTCTATTTATTTTTTAAATTAATTAATTTTTTTTTGAGATGCAGTCGTGCTCTGTTGCCCACGCTATAGTACAATGGCGTGATCTTGGCTCACTGCAACCTTCGTCTCCCGGGTTCGAGCAATTCTCCTGCCTTAGCTCCCCGAGTAGCTGGGACTACAGGCGCCCACCACTATGCACAGCTAATTTTTGTATTTTTAGTAGAGACAGGGTTTCACCATATTGGCCAGGCTGATCTCAAACTCCTGACCTCTTGATCTACCCACCTCAGCCTCCCGAAGTGTTGGGATTACAGGCGTGTGCCACTGCACCTGGCCAGTTTTTTATATTTTTAGTAGAGATGGGGTTTCACCATGTTGCCCAGGCTAGTCTCAAACTCCTGACTTCAGGTGATCCACCCGCCTTGGCTTCCCAAAGTGCTGGGATTACAGACACGAGCCACCGCGCCTGGCCCCTCTTTCCTCTTTAAATACCAAAGTCCTCAAAACCTTCTCTGGAAAAAAGCACAGGCCAGAGACCCTACTGCAGCCTGAGTCTGTTTTTCCTGGCTGTGCCCTTCTCCATGGCAAAATAAAGCTCTAAACCGACTGAGGCCTGTTTCAGACACTTTTTGGTTTACATGGCCGACAGGAGCCTATAGCAGGGATCCTGACCCAGCTGGGAGTCGGGGAGGGCTTCCCAGGGGAGGTGACCACCACATGGGGCTCAAAGCTCCAAGGCTGTGACCTCATCTGCATGTGGGGGCTCATCGCACGGACCTCCAAGGCAGTTGGGCACGGCGAGTAAGACACAAGCAAAGTTGTAGCATCCTGTGATTTTGGGTGCTCAACACGCCTTAGCCGATCAGGAAATGTCCCCTGTTCCTTCCAAGTCTTGTCTGACCTGGTGAGAAGTGCAACCCTAAACCACACTGTGACTAACCAGGAGTGACACTATGGAGCAGCTGACAGGATGCTA